TATTTTCCATTTTCAATTTCTAAAGAGCATTTTTTTTTACTTTTCTTGCTTTTATACTATTAAAAGTAAGTATTATATTATACTTACTGTTTTTTTCTACAATATAAAAACCAAATACTTTCCAGAAAACAAACAAACAAAAATGTCAATTACAAGTCAATAGAATAATATCCACATGGTCTTACTTAATTAAGTAATACAGATCACATAAACATTAAAAGCAATTAGTTCTAGGACTGATAATACTAGGTTAACAAACCAGACTAGTTAATGGAGATCACTGAATCATTTTGTTTCTTTGTTTATTCCACAAGATACATGAAGCTGTATTGATTCATCCATCCTTCCATTCTGTTAACTGCTCATTCAGCTAGGATACAGGGTGGTAGTGGGCACCCTCTGGGATAGTGCCGTAGCATATCCCGGGGGGGGGGGGGGTTAAAAGGCAGAATATACCCTGGACAGGTTCCAAGTCCATTGCATTGCTATCTCAAGGATCAATGTATTCCAAAACAGTGCAATGCTTCAGTTGCAATGAAAAAAGTATTTTGTTGTGGTAGTAAGTTTCTCCCTTCATCTCCTCCCCCTATTTTCAAATGTGGTTGAACATCATGAATTATAAGGATCATGTGTGGGTGTGGTTTTTTTTATACATGTCATGGAAAAATGGTCTGACCTTCCTTCCAAATACAACACGATGTAGTTGGAAGCTTATAAAAAAAAAAAAACTAGAATGGAAATCTAAAATTGTGAAGGTCTGACTGACTTATGAAGGATCAAATCACTCTTTGGGATCTCTTTTGTAACAACACAACAACACAGCAGGCACAGTCACAAGGAATGTCTGTTAACTGGTGGACTACTGTACTTGGGCCTATTACAGTAAGAGTCTGAAGTCTGAGAAAAACAGCTTCACAGGAAAAAGAATGAGGTTCTGCTGGGGGAAACCTCTGTGTTCCTTTCTGACCTGGATTCTTTAAGGCTAGGGCAACGTGATTGGCATTGGCATCATGATTACTGAATTTACCAGTTGTAAATTTGAGTTTACACAACAAAGTGGGGATAATTACACCGAATTAGGCTGTAGAACAGCTACAGTACATAAAGTAGAGTAGATGCTGCTTAGAAAAGGCCGTCATCTAACACATGCGCAGGGACATCACTGTATGCCATCCCACCTGTTTAAGGGCAAAGAGTATTGGCTCCTCACTCTGAAACGTTGCCCTTTGTCTCCTTGAGTTTGAGAAGGCAGATTTGATCCTCCAGACCCAGCAGGCTGTGAATAAAGTAAGTATGCAATGCAAATCAAAAACCATGGGAATAACTGTCTCCACTGAGGTTCTTTCGAGTTCCCGTGTTGCTGTGCTTTTCTGGATCAAACCTGTTCTTTAAATTTCAAAGTGTATCATACCTCTTGGGATACTTTTGTAGGACTCTTAAAAAATCAAAGCTAAACATCACACGATGTCTCTTTTCAAGAGATGTATTTACTTTCTGGGAGATGAGTGGTGTTGTCAATGCATTACTGTCACTTTATTCTCTTGCCGTAGTCACATTGCTTCCCCTGTATAACTTCACGCTTCACAAGACACCATTGAACTCCTGACATACCTTGCAAGAGTGGGGAGAGAAGAGTCCAATCCTAGCAACTCCATTTAAATGCTTTCAAGGTGAAAAAGACCCCATTCAGCTTCTGAAAGAGGTACTTTGGGGACACTAGTGGGAAACTTCTCTGGCAATATATAGATGTAGAAGAAGCAGAAAGGGTTTTTGCTTAATCAGGCAAAAGGACATTTAAACCATTTGTTTTTCCTCTGGATGAGCACAGGGGAGAAAGAAGAAAACAAGGAAGAAAATGCTGAGAGCAATATGAGGTAGAAACCCCAGGAAGCACTGTGCACATTTTCAAAATGGCAGATAATAGACTTCTCCCATGCGTGTAAACATTGGATTTCCATAGAAATGGCCTCTTTCTGTGTTTCAAACGGCTAGTCATGGGTGAGAGAGTTATGTGGCACTCACCTCTTAATCTTGTTAGATGTTTTTAAAATAGCACTGGTTCTGTGTTTCTTTTGTTTTGTTTGTTTTTTAAACATTGAGAGACAGAAAGCTTGTGTCAGTATTTGTAATTTGAAATCTGATTTAGAAATTATGTTTCTGTTAATGACAAAGATATGATTTCTTTTAATATATGTTTTGCTGATGGACGTGACAGGTTATTGGCCAAATGTCACAGCTGAAATACTCCCCCCACCTCCCAAACATGTTTTCTGTTGTTTCTTGTAACTTCCTGTATGAAACCAATTTAATATAGGAGATTAAACAAGAAATTTCATGTTAGGTTTACACATGCTTCCAATGACAAAATGAATCTGCACCATCTCTTCCTGTGACTGGATTCATATCATTCCCATCATTATTGTTTATGAACAATTATGTTGTGAACATAGCAGTTTTTTTTAAACAATTCATGGTTATATATTTTCACATGTGGAAAAGTTTATGTGATATTAACTGAAGTGAGTGATGACAGTTTGTAAATTGTTATTAGTACATTAAACCATTTAAAGTTTGTGTTTGCACTGAGATCCTAACAGCGCAAAGTTTTATTAACAAATGTAGCCCAAGGATTCCAATTCATAAGAAGTACAGATGATAGATGTGTATTAATAATGT